AGGACAATGGATTCTCTTTTATGTATCTTCTCAATCTTCCATGTTTCCTCTCATTTCATTGCCCTCTGGCTTCTCCAGCAATGTCCCTTTGCCACCTAGTGACTGAGCAACAAGCTGCCATCTAACACCAAAATCTGTGGTATGTTCTCTTTAGTCCAATGAAGGATTCTATGATGACACCACCCCTTGACCTCAATTGGCCCTTCATTGTGACTGAAAATTCTACTTTTTTCCCACCCCTAGTGGTTCATCTTGCACTTTTTATTTACAGGATCAAGGCTCCACATCTCACAACTCTAGGGGAACACAATTGACATTGATGCCCCTGCAATTATGTCATATACAATCTGCTAAGCTTCACAGGGTGATTTCACTGAGGATTGCTTGCTCCTGTCTATGGTGACTGCCCAGTTAGCATCATTAGCTACATTTGGCATGTTGAGACTTCTGCTTATGACAAGGCATGAAGAGATTCTGGGGAGCTAAGCCTAATCACACTGAGACACCATCTTTTCTCAGTTTATGTAGAAGGGTGAAGGGAAGACCCTCTTAGGATATATGTTCTAAATCCCCAAATAAGAAATGGAGCAAAAGTCCCTCCTCAGTTTTTGTTTTTTCCCTCAACCTCTCTACATGTTTCCTCTCTCTGGGTATTTAGCCTTTATCTTGAATTTGAAAGGGAATGGCATAAGGGGTAGATTTTCCATTTACATTTTCTTTATGACCAGTACTTCCTCTCAACTTTAACTGTAAATGAAAATTACCTGGGGAGATTTCAAAAATCCTGACTCCCAGGCTATGTGCCAAACTGATTATATTAGTTGCTCTTAAGGGTGGCATCAGTACTTTTTAAGCTCCATAGATGATTCCGAGGTGTAGCAATGGTTGAAAACCCTACTTTACATTCTCCCTCTTGCCTGGGGTGCAGTGGCTTTCCCACTTCCCAGTGGCTAAATGGTCATTGGCTGCTAGAAAATGTGTTATGTAGGGAAGAGGCATAAAGCAACATCAGAATAATATATTCGATATGTTATCTCATTACAGCCTTTATTACAAAATGCTATTTCTTAGTTATAAGATTCAGAATAAATTATTTTGGTTTATTATGATTACAGAACAGAATATAAATGTCATTCTGGACCCTGTAAGAGGGGTTGTATGTGTAAAGGGAGTAGGGGAAATGCTACAGAAAAGTTGAGGAACTTGTACACTTTAGGTGCATTAGTTAAAGATTCAAAGCTAACTAACAGAAAAGGGAGAAAATTATTTTAGCTATCAAAATCTTGGAAGGGAGAGGATGAAATAAATGATATATCTCCATGGTCATTGTAAGAGTGAATAACCCTCATCTAAGAAAGATAAATAAAATAGCAGTTTACTTCCATGTTATTTAAAGGTAAGAAGATAACTACCCAGAGAACTAAAAATAGAAATTGTATAGGTTGTCTCTTGGTGGGGAACATGGGGGTGTCTGGGACAAGGATGGGTTCTGTATTTCTAGCTTTAATTTCTGCATACATCTAGAAAATATGACAGGTTAAAAATAAAATTGGGATCCCAAACTGTGGTGCATATCAAAGAATGGTTTGGGAGACTATCATAAATCAAGGTCATTGCACTAATGACCTTGATTTACAGCCTTCCACTGCCATAGGCCTCATGCTGGAGCCCAGGCCCTTGTTCACAGCAGTGTTACATGCTTAGCTGGAGGCATTCAGATTCTCCATGGCCAAGTCCTTCAGTCATTGTTAGTAATGGATCACCATAATTTCACTTCATTTATAGTCTTTTAAATTCTGTAGATTCAGGGGAAATGGAGAGAGACAGTAACATTTATGAAGAATCCACAAAGTGGCATTCTAGCTTACCAGCTTGCAGAGTCTTTGGACTTTAACTATAAGTAATGGTATTCTATTAGTGCCAAGAAGTTTTAGCAGATGGCTTTGGTCTGTGTGGCATGTGCCTTTAGATGTTCTGAGAAGTATCTGTTGAGATAGAACACAGGTGATGTAAATAAGCACTGAATTGAATAGAGGACCTATGATGTCTCATCCAGGCTGCATCTGCCTTCAGCTGGTTCTATATTCTCAATTGTGTCACTTAACTTCTGGAATATCTGAAAAATGAGAACATTCCCTGACTCAATTTTTAAATTCCCTTCCAGCCTTAACATTCAACACATCAAGCATTTTTTTGGTAAAATAGGAAGTGTCACTGTTTTTCTCTGGGCTTTTTAAATTTTTATCCACCACTTCTATTAGGCTTTAAAATATAGGACAGCCTGTTACACAGGTCAGCAATGCTTTGTCTTCATATAAATACAATTAAAATTACAGAGCTATCAGTTTTGGCTGGATGACCATGAACAAGTATCTTAACTTCTTCAAACTTCTGTCCCTCACCTATAAAATAGAGAACAATGTTGAATTATGTTAGAAGGATTTGATGTATATGTTTCCTAGTCCAAAAAACATTCTCAATAAATGTCAGTTTGTTATGCTGAAGAAGATTGTGTCAATAGCCTAATGCCTGCTCCCTAGATTGAAATATAGGTTGTCATGAACTCACAAAGAGAAGTTCTATGTGAATTTGCAGATAACTAGGTCAAATTTTCCCATTTTTCTCATTTACAAAGCAGCAAACCTTCTGTTTTCGCATGAGTCTGTATGCTGAGGAAAATCTCTATCACCATCTGGTTCACCAGAAGCCAAGAAAAATACAGCACAGTAGATTAACTATCCCCAGGCCATACTCTTTTCCCATCCCTGGCCATTTTTCCTAGCCAAAACATCTGCTGTAGTGTTCAATACATTTGACTTTGTTTTAGGGCAGGTCTCCCTTTGGCCAAGCAAGAGTCCTACCCTTACCTCCCAAGGTAAAAATGGTTACCATCTGACATTCTTTGACTTGTGCACCATCTGCCTGTGTTGGCGTTAGAGCTCTCTAATAATCAATGTTACCTAGTTCTATATTCTTGTCTTCCACCTATAGAAAGGTGAGGGGGAGGCAGAGAGGCAAGAAAGGAGGACTGTATAAATGAATCAATGGCAATGATTCATTTAGTGGTAGGCAACACTTACTCTTCACAATTCCCTGTTTTGTGGCATGGAAGCAATATTTCTTCATTCTGAAAGATGATTTTAGTTTTCACTTTATATTTACATGTTGCTGGGCCTTGAAGACTAAGAATGAAGAATGCATTTATATGTTTAGAAATTTATTTTTTTTCACCCATTTAGTCACAGACTTCCTTCCTGGTGACTCAACCATTAAAATTAAGCAATCAATTTAAATGCAACTGAAATACCATGTTAAATATATACCAAGCAGAAACACACAACGCTTTCACTAAAAGTAAAATCCTGAAAGGTTTAATATCAATGGGACCCACATAGGATTGTATTATTGTTGTCATCTCTATAGAAAATAAAACAGTGATGACCTGGGGAATTGGAGGAGAGTCCACATCCAATTGATTTTTACTGAAATAACTCAGTCTTAATTCAACTAATCTAGTCCTAATTCATGCTATAGTTTTGTTCATCTACTTTAAGCAAAAAGAGCTCTATGTTGAATGAGCTCATTTACAGAAATTTTATGGGTGGAAAACAAGCGTTGAATGCTTATGTTTCCATACAAATTTCATAATCACTCTGTTGTATTTTACAATGGGTTCTTTTATTGGGAGTAAGCTAAATTCAAGCCACCCTTACAATTAGTTTTCATTACCAACATATCCTCATATGCTCACTTATGCATCCTTTTAGCATTTAAAATTTCCATTTATGTATATTTCTTGTTTTCTTTTGCATTTATTTTTATTTTTTATACCCTCACCTGAGGATATAGTTATTAAATTTTTTAGGAGACAGAGGAAGGGGGAGAGAAAGACACACATACACATCAGTGTGAGAGAGAAACATTGATCCATTTCCTTGCCTATGGTCAGGGATCAAACCTGCAACCTAGATATGTGCCCTGACCTGGGATGGAACCTGTAGCCTTTTAGTGTACAGGACAATGCTCTAAGCAACTGAGCTAAATTTTAAAAAATTTGTCATATAATTGAATCTGAGTGCTAGAACTATTTTTGGAGACTTACTGCTATTTTTTATCTTTTTCCTTAAAGAATTTTATGTATCTTGTGTCCATTTTTCTAACCAAATATTCATCTTTTTCTCTTATTGATTTATGAATCTTTTATATATTATGCCTATTAATTTTTAATCTTAATTCAGAAATTATCCTAATCTCATTAGTTACACAAATTAAGAAATTGAAATGAGATGGCTTTTCCATTGTCACATAGAAAGTTAGTGGACAATCAGGACTGCAAGCAGTCTCTTGGGTCTTCATCTAGAGGTTTCCCTCCCAAACACTAGCTTCCTTGCCTCCACCTTTCTCATTTTCCTCTTAAATTAAGCATAATCTGGGTACTTGACTTGATTCAAAGTAACAATAAGTTAGTTCTCTACCTCCATAAATTAATCACTAATAGCTGCTAACTCCCAACTTTTCTTTATCACAAAATTTTCATTTAATTTACATAATTTCCTATCAAGTAGATTTTATATACCTGAAACTGAAAATTGAAACTGCTTTTCCCACAAAATAACTGCCAAATTATCACATCCTTAGTTTTTTCATGATATAGTAACATTCAATTATTTTTATAAAATTAAATGTCACTTTAAAGCTAAACATTAGCAGTTACAAATTAGTAAATTTATGAATAATCACATATGACCAAATGCACAAAACACCAGTAAAATTGAAAGTCATATGAACCTTGCTGGAGAAAATTAAACATTCTAATAGGTTTACTTTTTATTCACACTGCATGTGATTGGACCAACATGGTTACCACCATCAAACGAACTTCAGCAACCAGAAGTTTTATCACTTGTTTGAGTTTTTTCCCCTAAAAAAGCAGCTTATGAAATAAGAAATAAATAAGAACAGTCTGGAAGTATTGCATGGGTCTTGTTCCTCTCTTTAGTTCATAAAGCATTTAATTTAGCCACTTGGGAAGAATGTATTTTCTTGATATCAACTTGGCTCAGAATCAATGTCCCATTTTTCAGTTTTCCAACCTGTCCAATCCATCCACTTGACAAAATACTGGAAGCTGATTTGTTCTTTTTGGATTTCCTGTCTTTCTGCCCTTTCTTCTTCTTTTTCTTGAAAATATCTGTGTCCTGGGCCATTCTCTTTTCTTCTTTCTTTGCTGCCTTTTTCCTTTGATCTGCTGCTGGGAGGCTGAGCACACAACATAACCATGAGTTCCCAGCCAGGACTCATTCCTCTCCTTTTCCATAACCCATGATCCCAAACCTGTGTACCTCCCACCACACTTTTTCTAAGTTAATTTCTTGTGTATTCACATCTTCCTCAAGTATACTAGTTTTGGTCTTTGTGTTCTCATCTTAATCCAGCTCCTGTCTTCTTAGTTCTGCTGTGGAATTCCACCACTGCTACTTGCTCCCTGCTGTTCTTCAGGGAAGAGAGATGCTGCAGTAGGAGAGCACCAATGAGATCACAGCAGGGGCACACTGCAGCTCTTCTCTCAGCCTCTGAGAAGCTGAGAAACTGGAAGTGCTCTTCCTCTGGCCTCTTACAAGAGAACTAGGTGGGGGATCTGGCTCTACCCCCAGCACTGCTAGAATCCCCACATTGCTTCTTCTTATCCCTTTTCTTTCTGATCATTTTCTGTTCTGCTTCGTTTTCTGTCTCTCCAAAGATGTAGAGGTTCCAGGACACAGTGTCCAGAAGCTGAGAGGAAGGAGGCAAGCAGGAATCCAGACCCTGCTCCCAAGCCACCATGGGATAGGACTTTCAGAGACAACCCAGTGTCCACTGGGAGGCTGGCACACGGCACCCCTGCCTCCAATTCTGACTCCCAAATCTTATCTTATTCCTGATACTCCAGGAGTATCCCCACGAAATCCAGATTTACCTCCTTAGAGTTTATTGTCTCACCACAGCTGAGGGGATCTTTTTACAAAATAAGAATAAAAAGTCTCACTCCTCAAAATTCTCCAATGATTCCCAATGTAATCCCAAATCTATACAGCAGCTCATGTGATATTGACCCACTGTCCCTTCCCCCCAGGTTTTTTCTCTTATGTCAGTTTCTCTTCATTCACTCATGTCCTTTTTCTCCCCCAAACATGTAAGCATGCCCTTGCTTCAAGCCATTTGTACTTTTGCCCTTTTATTTGAAATGCTCACTCACATATACATTTAGATAAAAGTACTTCAATTTCAAGGGCTTTTTCTGTTTTGTAGCTGCCAAATCTTCAACAAGTAGAACAGTGTCTGACACTTAGTTGATGCACAATATATGATTATTGAGTGATTGAACTATGCTCACTAGAAATCAATTTTTGATGATGTTGCATGTAAAGAATATTGTGGTATAATATGATCTCTGCAAAACTGGTTGAATTTCTGGAACTAAGATAATACGACTTAGGTACTGAATCACTGCATTAGAATACACTTCAAACGTTTTGCCTCTGTCAGTGTCTCCAACAACATCTTATTTCTTTCTCTGAACAGGCCCAGTGCATCCGAGCCTTTGGTCCGTTTTGTTGGATGCGCCTTCTGGGGGGAAGTGTCTGTTCATGTATCTTTACATGGGTGACTCCTCACTCCAGGCTTGTTTCGAAGCTGCCTTCTTGGTGAAACCTTCCCCAGTTACTCAAACTAAATAACTCTCCTTAGTTGTGTATCTACTGTCTTATCACACCAAATTCTTTTATTTTTTTCTCGGGGCATGTTTCCAGATAGCAAACACATGTTATTTCCACCACTATATTGCCAGAGGTTCACCTCATATGACACATAGTGGGCACTCACAAAATATTTGGTGGATGAATGAATATCATTACCCTAACTGCCAAGATTGTAAGATCTGTGGCCCCCAGACAGCACTGGCTACATGGTGCTGAAATTATATATCTGTAAGTCTGTCTTCCACAGAATCTGTGAGAACCTCTGCAACAGGTAAAATGTTTAATTTTCGGTTACTTCCCAGTCATTTCCCACAGCTCCTGGCACTTAGTGGCACTCCATAGATGTTTGCTGAACTAACGTGAAGCAACAGAAAAGCTACACAAATTTTTCATCAAGTTTATTTCATTTCAAAGATAGAGAATACAAATCACAGAGAGTAAAATATTGCAAAGTAAATATTATGAGATGGTCAAGGGAAGCCACATGAGAAGAATACACAAAAGAGTTAAGACGTGGAAAAATTAAGTGCCTGGAATTAGCTCTCATAGGAAAAAGAAATGTGACAATGAGATCATCAATTCAGGTGCTCATTTCAGAGCAATGCCAAGCTTCTGGTGTTATAAATTTACATGGTCTTTTTTTTTCTAGGCTAAAATATATTGTTATTGCTGTGCTATGTTTAATGGTTCCTGTAAGTCATCTTTTTGATTAGCCAAGCACAGTCCTTTCAGAAGCTATTCTAAACTTTCCCCAATTCTCTTATTTTTTTCTTTAAACACTTTCTCCTCACAGGTAGTCCTATCTTTCACTTTTCTGAGAAAATCAAGATCACTGAAGAGGAAATCCCTTAACCTTCTATCTTTTCTACCCAAAATATCTTTCGTCCAACACATGTTTCTCTTCTTTCTCTTCTGTCTTTGCATAATAGCTATATTTTTCCTTTCCAAAAATTAACCTTAACATTGCATCATGGTCCCTTATCCTTTTTGTGTGTGTGTCAAACAATGCCTTGTCTCCTCAATCATTCCCAATATACCAACATTACATACAGCTTTCTTTCTAGAAGTTCCTTCCCTTTGGTATTCCAAAATACACAGGTCTTTCCTGTCTTAGCAAAACAGTGATGTCTATTGTTGTCCACTTCTCCCCATCAAGTTCATATTATTCTTTGTGGCTAGATGTCTTATATGCATGACTTACTATCTATGTTCTTCTACAGTATACTCCATCCATTATAACAAAGTTCTATTCATTCTTTAGGTCTTGGCTCTGTTCACATGGAACTCTCATGCTCCAAATGTGAATACCAAACATGGCTTTCTACATTTCATATTTGGTGGCCTTTTCCCAGTGTTGACTCTGCCGGGCTGTTATGCAGCATTCATTCCATAAGCTTCCTTTGACTTTGCTTTAAAAAAAAAAAAAGATTGTATTTATTTATTTATTTATTTTTAGAGAGAGAGGGAAGGAGAGAGAAAGAGGGGGAAAGAAACACCAATGTGTGGTTGTTTCTCACACGTCCCCAACTCAGGACCTGGCCTACAACCCAGTCATGTGACCTGACTGGGAACCAATCTGGCAAACCTTTGGTTTACAAGCTAACACTCAATGCACTGAGCTGCAGCAGCTACAACACTTTCCTTGACTTTGAAGTATGATGAATGCACCTGATTTTACTTTGACACTATCTCTGAATTACTTTTATTTTCTAATTGGGGACAATATCCCAAGGCCTTATACTCTTTTTTATTGAAAAAGTTTTCCTTGAGAGTTTGTTCATTTTTATGGATTAAGTAAAACAATAAATCAATTTCCAAGATTACTGAGTACATTCTAAAGGTCAGACAATGTTTGGGCATCATGTATCAAAATTTGAATGATTAATCGAAATAGAGCACCAGACTAGTTGGCTAAACATGAGTCAAATATAAATATGGTTTTACTGGGATGCAAATAGGGTCAAAATTTTTTTATAGGGCTAAAAAGAGAAACAAAATTAAAAAAAAGTTTAAAAAGAACAAAATTACTTAGAAGAGTGAGTAGCCATCCTGATGGAAGTGATGTCTAAGCGACTAGAGTTAGTTAATTTGGGGTGGGTGAATGCTGCATGGAAGGGATCAGCAGGTGCAAAAGTCTACAGGAGAAGACCAATGGCACATACATCCTTTTATTCACATTGGCTGGGCACTTGAGTGTTTACTGACACATCAGCATGATGACTAACAATTATTTCTTAAGTTTATTTCATGTGGGGCTTCAGATATTGTAAGGATAGTAAATAAAATTTCTAGTTATGTACAAGCCCGTGGTCTAATGGGAAAAAGGCCAAATGAGTAATCATTGTAAGCCCACTGTGAAAGGGAAGAGCAAATCCTGGGATGAGGCCAAGAAAGAGGGCAAGATAAGCCAAGTCTTCAAACCACACTTACACTTCTTCCAATTATGATAAAAATGACCATCCTACCAAGTAGACATAGTACTGTCAATCATACACATTATTGCATTTTCTAATATATCTTTTCTACAAGTGCTACCTGTGTTAATTTGAGTAAGTGAACTACAGAAACAAATAGACTCCAAATCTCAGTAACTTGAGAAAAGTATATTTATTACTCATTTCATATTCCAAAATGGTTCTGAGGTGGGAGAAGGCTTATCCACACAGTCATTCAGTAAGCCAGGATAATTTGTTCTTATTTGTCTTGTAATTGCATTTCTCAGGGTTTTGGTATCCAAAATGCAGTTCTTTGCTCAGCAGCATCTGCAGCATTTGATAACTTGTTAAAAATTCAAATCCTTGGGCTCACTGTAGACTGGCTGAAGCAAAGTCTCTGACTCTGCGACCTGGAAACATGTGTTCAATGAGATATGTCTGTAATTCCCAAGTTTGAGAACTACTGCCAAGTTCTGGCTGAGGAGGGCCACACAGTAGGGTTGTTAATGACTAGTCCCAGAAGTAGTATATATGGCTTCTGCCCACAGTCCATTGGCTGTGACTCAGTCCCGAGGCCCTGCCTACCTATTTAAGAAGCTGGGACATATAGTCTAACTCTATACCCAGGAATAAAAGACCTCCTCCCCTAACTGTTTTTCCTACTTCTTGTGTCTCCCCCTCAAATTCATTTTCCCCTCAGTAGTCAGACTAATATTCCTAAAAGGTGCATCTGTTGGGCCACTTCTTGACTAAAATTTACATTGGCTCACAGCCTCTGAAAGACAGGTCTTAGCATTCCAAAGACTGCAGCCTCTCTGGCCTCATGGCTGGCCAATCTCCCTTGAACTCTAAACTCCAGCTGTCCTGAATTGCTATGAGAACAACTGGCTAGTCCTCTTATGAGCCACATGCCTTCTTCTCTGGGCCATGGTACCTGTTGCTCTTCCCATGCTCTCCTCCTCCTGGCCTCTCCCATTCATCCTACAGGACTCAGCTGGGATGTGACTTGTTCCAGGAGTATCTCGCTGAAACCACTCCCTATCTCTCCTTCAGAACTGGGTTAGATGCCTTCTACTAACCCAGGATAATTCTTATCACTTTGAATTTCAATCACATAAGTCTCTAGCTACACAGGTGGCAAACACAAGGCCCACAGGCCAAATTCAACCCTCCACCTTGTTTTATACAGCCTGACACCTTGTTTCTACCCAGCAGCAGTACTGAGCTCCTTGCCCCTAGTTAAGGAGTAGTTACATTTATACAGTCCTAAAATTACTTTCGGCCCTTTGAAGAAGACTGCAAGGTTGAGGTGGCACCTGGTGAAAATGAGTTTGACACCCCTGCTCCAACATCTTACACAGAGTTGTCTCCTTGTTGCCCATAAAGATATGGTGTGTGGTAGATCCTGAGTGAATGTCTGCCAAGTAATTAATTCAAAGTTGTTTAATAGATGCTCAGTGGGCACTTATATATGAGAATGTTAATTGTGTATCCTACTTTGGCTAGAATTGTTATTAAGTCCAATATTATTATTCTTTCTTTTCCTCAATTAAGTACTGCACCTAAACTATAGCCAAGACCTTCAGCTCTGAATACAAGGGGGCTGACACATACAACTGAGATCGGGTTGAAGTAAACCCATTCCCATCAC